GTAGAAAGCAACCAGGTTGGTCTGACAGGACCTGCCTCTAATGAACCCATGTTGATTGCCTCTAAGCATAATCTCCCCTGCTGGTCCCTTGCAGATGTACTCCTGGATAATTTTCTCAAAGAGCTTCCCAGGACCGAGGTAAGACTAATGGGCCTATAATTTCCTGGGTCCTCTTTCCTCCCTTTTTTGAAAATGGGGACCACATTGGCCCTTTTCCAGTCCTCTGGCACCTTGCCAGAGCACCACAAGCACTTGTAAAGCTGTGCCAGGGGTCCCGCAATGACCTCTGCCAATTCCCTCAGCACTCTGGGGTGGAGATCATCGGGACCTGGTGATTTGAACATGTCCAGTCCTTCCAGAAGTTCCCTGACTAGGTCCTCGCTGACCCTGGGCCACGCTGCACCTCCCCTGCGTCTCTCCGGAAACCCAGTGGGGGGGATGTCCCTGTCCCTGCTCAGGAAGATGGAAGAAAAGAATCTGTTAAAGAGATTAGCTTTGTCGCCAGGTGCTACCACCAGATTACCAAGCATGTCCTGCAGAGGCCCCACATTACTTTTTCAGACCTGCATTTTGCATATTGGCTCCTATTTCATCCAGAAGAACACAAAACAACAGCAGACTCTCTCCATGCCTGAAGAAGGGTGTTTGTACCCAAACGCTTGCAATTTCTCCAACTATTTATTTGGTCTAATACATGATATCACACCTACCCAAAGCACCAGATTTAATTGCATTTAAATTGCTAGAATGTGCATCTTATTGTATGTTTTCAGCAGAAATGATAAATTATATGTTTTATTATATATATAATTATATAATACTCAAGGAGCTGGTACTCAAGGAGCTGGCTAGCATCATAGCCCAGCCCCTGGCATGAATCTTCAAGAACTCCTGGTGCTCTGGTGAAGTGCCTGAAGATTGGAAGAAGGCCAATGTGGTGCCTATCTTCAAGAAAGGGAGGAAAGTGGATCCGGCAAACTACAGACCCATCAAGCTGACCTCTATCCCGCGGAAGGTCTCAGAAAAGATTAAAGAGGCCATTCTTAATGGACTGGCCAACAGCAACATCCTAAGGGAGAGCCAGCGCGGGTTTGTTGCGGGTAGGTCTTGCTTGACCAATCTTATTTCCTTTTACGACCAGGTGACTTATCACCTGGACAAGGGAGAGTAGATTGATGTCATATATCTTGACTTCAAAAAAGCCTTCGATCTGGTATCCCATGATCACCTCTTGGCAAAACTGGCCAACTCCAGCCTCAGGTCCACCACGATCTGCTGGCTGGGGAATTGGCTCTGTGGTCGGACCCAGAGGGTGGTGGTTAACGGAAGTCAATTGTCACGGTGGTCTGTGACCAGTGGGGTCCCCCAGGGCTCTGTCCTTGGACCTATATTGTTCAACATCTTCATTAATGATGTGGACATTGGAGTTGGAAGTGGACAGGCCAAGTTTGTCGATGATACCAAACTCTGAGGTAAAGCTTCCACACCTGAGGACAGGCGGGTGATCCAGGCTGACCTTGACAGGCTCAGCAAATGGGCAGACGAGAACCTGATGGTATTTAACACTGAAAAATGCAAGGTTCTCCACCTTGGGAGAAAAAACCTGCAGCATCCTTATAGGCTCGGCAGAGCTACACTGGCTAGCACTATGGATGAAAGGGACTTGGGGGTCATGATTGAGCACAAGATGAACATAAGCCTTCAATGTGATGCTGCGGCTAGTAAAGCAAGAAAATGCTGGCTTGCATCCATAGATGCTTCTCAAGCAAATCCCTGAACGTCATTCTCCCCTTGTACTCGGCCTTGGTGAGGCCACAGCTGGAGTACTGTGTCCAGTTTTGGGCTCCACAATTCAAAAAGGATGTGGAGAAGCTTGAGAGAGTCCAGAGAAGAGCCATGTGCATGATCAGAGGTCAGGAAAACAGACCTTATGACCACAGGCTGAGAGCTATGGGACTCTTTAGCCTGGAAAAGTGCAGGCTCAGGGGCAATCTAATGGCCACCTATAAGTTTATCGGGGTGCTCACCAGGATCTGGGGGAACGATTGTTCACCAGAGTGCCCCAAGGGATGACAAGGTCGAATGGTTATAAACTCCTTCAAGACCATTTCAGGCTGGACATAAGGAAGAATTTATTCACTCTCTGAGCTCCCAAGGTCTGGAACAGCCTGCCATCGGAGGTGGTTCAAGCACCTACACTGAACACCTTCAAGAGAAATTTGGATGCTTATCTTGCTGGGATCCTGTGACCCCAGCTGACTTCCTGCCCCTGGGGCAGGGGGCTGGACTCAGTGATCCTCTGGGGTCCCTCCCAGCCCTAATTTCTATGAAATCTATCAAATATATGTTATTGTGCAGATATGTTATTGCTCATAAATAATATTTATATATGTGTTATTGTTCATTTTATTGTATTGTTTCAGCAAAAGCTGTGAGGGGTTGGGATGGCATGGGTGCGGATGCTAAGGCTCACAGCTACCCACCTAAGAGATCACAAGTTCGAAGCCATAGCGGAAGCACTCCTGGCGTAGCCTGTCAAATTCCAATGAAATCTGTGAATTCTGCTAAATACCTTATCACAAGGGTATGAAAAAGCAAGCAAAAGCTGTAAATATATTACCACAACTAGTGCTGTCTTGGTTTGTAAATTACTCTTACGTAGAACCTCTCTTCCTGACTAGTCTCACACTCCTTCACAGATGACCATGTATGCAGGTTTCAACTCTTGACAGGAAACCTTGCTTTATATGGTTGTATTGCTTTAAATAGCCGCTGTTTTCTCGCTCAAATTTATTTCTTCCTTGGTTTAACTTCTTTGTATCTTTTTTTCTCTTCTGGATATTACCTACACAGTCCCTGTAATGATTTGAATCACCAGACTCTCTTCAAAGGACAGTTTCTCTTTTTGCCTTTATAAGTAGATGGCTTCCAACCTGGCTTCTACTACAGTTCTCACACACTAAATACGGTCCACATGACCCCTTCCTGTGGTTTGCATGGGAAATTACGGAAGTGCCCACTTTTTTTACAAAACACTACAATAATTATCCAGATAGATACTACAGTATCTTTTGAACAAGAAGATACTTTATATGGAGCCTATGTTATAACCAGGCTTATACTGTAAGAGAAAGTATGAGTTTCTATCCAGGTATTTCAAATTGTGTGTTGAAGACTTAAATTTAATATTACTAAATGGTACAACTTTTGTAGTTAGGAACTGTTTATGGGCATGATTAAAATTTGCAACATAATTCTCAGCTTTGAGAGACTGTGGTTAGTTGCTTATGAGTCTGAATAAGATGGGGTTGCTATATCATACAATTGCATCTTCATAAGTAAGAAAGATCAGAGCACTGGATTTGCATTATGTCACAACACAAATTTGTTATTTTTTACTATCATCAATTTCAAACAAGAAAAACAAAATATAGGTTTCTGTCTTTAAAGTATTGGGTAATAAAGGTGGAAAAAATTAACTATGATTGCATATAGCCAGATAAAGTAGGGTGAATTGTTCTGAAAATTCTTAGAACGTAACATTTCTTGAAATAGAGCCCGAGTAATCAAGGTCTTTGCACCTTAACCAGGGGGCCAAGACACAGGGCTGCGGCGCATCTTCCATGTACCCACAAACTACAGTTAATGCAGCCATCACTCCTCCATGTCAGTTATGTATGTGTGGAATTTCTTTTTGTGGTATACTTAGGGAACCTGTAGCCCTTCCCCATATTCATTCCCACCAAGACCCGTCATGCAAGTGTATGCGGTGCCCCTTTAGCTGGTAGTCCTCCTGCATGTATGCTGTGTCCTCAGTCTCCTGCACACCCCTTGTGAGGCTTGAAGGTCCATTCTGACTTAGAAGAAATTTAAAAATCAAAGTGCAAGCCTGTGATTTCCAGTCTGAAGTTTGGGATTCTTAAGATTTGCCTGTTCCTTAAAAAGTTCACCCAGCATGAAACTACCAGCATCAAGCCCTGGTGTAAAATCCTAGCCCCTTCCAAGTGAACTGATTTCAGTGGGGCCAGGCTTGCACCCCAAAGATGTGAGCGAAGGCAACTGAGGCCCTTCCTTGTGTTCTCACTGGAGTCCACAGCAGGACTCCAGTTCCTAACAGCCACATGCATGTTTTGGGGTTGGATGCCGGCTCAGCCCCAAACACTCCCTGAAGGGGTCATTCCAAACCCAGATTTTTTTTATTATTACATTTTCCATATTCCAGGCCAAATCCGCCAAAACAAATTCCAAATCCGTAAGTCAGCCCAAACCACAAGTGGCCCTACTACCAGCAAACATCCTCCACCCCCATCTGGGGCTTCAGATGTTTCCAAATCCTTTGGCAAGCATCCTGCTTGCCCAAGCCCAGAGGCTTGAGGTTTGCGTGCCCCCAAGTTTCGCTTGCCCTCAGCCGTATGACCCAGGAGCAAGCTAGGGAGAGTCCCCCCTTTCCATACAGTGGGCATAAAACCAAGACCTTCCCACTCCAGCAGCTAAGTGGGAGGTTTACTACACATTACCTTGGCAGGCGCTATCCCTGTACCAGGAGAGCAGTCTTCCCCCAGAGCGACTAGGAAGACCACCTCTGTGGTCACAGCGCTTCCCCTGCCAGGCAAGCATAGGACTACGCTTGACCTGAGCCTGCAAGCCGCCCAGATATGAGTTTGTGCTTTGCTGGGGGAGCCCATCCCACCTGGCTGCTTAAGGCCTGGGCTCTGCGCCTTGCTGGCCACAGGGGCTTCTCTGTGTATGTGGGAGGGAGGAAAGGTGCGCGCTTCAGGGCTTGGATGAGCCCCCCACAGTGCGGAGGCGATGGGCTCCGGCGCCGCCTCAAGGGGATGGTTGCCTGCAGCAGCCCCCGCCGCCTCAGGGGCCGCGTACAGCGAAAGGAACCGACCTAGACCCCACCCCCCTTCGCCCCCTGTTCCACAGGCGGGCATTATTACGTCACAGCGGGCGGGCCGGGCCGGGATTGGCTGCTGCCGCGGGGTGGGCACGGGCTCCGTGGTGGGCGCGGGTGGAGCCATGGGGGAGCTAGTGGTGGTGCCGGCCCAGGCGCCCTGCCACCGAGGTGGGCTTCCGCGCGGGGGAGAGCTGGACTGGCCCGTGGGGAGGGGCGGAGCCCTTTGCCTTGCACGGACAGCCCGGGCCGGGCGGAGAGAGCAGCCCCACGTGTCCCGCACGGCTGCACCCCTGTGCAGCTGCTCCGCGCCAGCGCTTGGCCCACTCTTTCTCTCTCTCAGTGTTATATTGAAGTGGATGGATGAGCCCAGATCCATTTACAGCAGCTGGTTGCCGCTCTCGTTCAAGCCCCGGGCGCGTTGGTGCGACTCCGCGCTTGCATTAAATGGCAGCGGAAAGCTGGCGGTGCCCGTGGAGCGGGAGGCTGCGGTGGTGGGAGGCACAGGCGGGGAGACTCGACTCCAGCACAGCTGGGGAGTCTCCTGGCTTGGTGTTTTAGGAGCGGCTCTTGCAGCCCTTGGGGCAGTGGGGCCACTGGCTCCACTGTAATAGAAATAATTTGGGTTTGGGACCTTTTTTGGTGTTTACATATAGTTGGCAGGTTTTTTTTGTATTGCCTAGCGTGGTAAACTGGCTAAAACTGACAAACCCTCACAGGTGTTTTGCTCCAACTTCTTATGCGTTGTGTGTTGCCAACTTCAAATAAATAGGCCAGCTAACCCCTAGTACAGGGCTTCATTCTGTCAGAGCTGTAGTGGTTTACTTGGTCAGAAGGAGGTGAGAGGGACATCCCCTGTTGGAGCTGATGAAGGGAGTATCCAGCTCTTCTGACTCTGAAAGTAAATTGGAACTGTTTTAAAAGCTGTAAAAAACTTCCAAGTAGGTCCTTGTGCTCTTTATAGTTACTACAGCTGTTTAGTCTTACTCACCAGACAAGCCTGCCCTTAAACAGGCATCTTTAGTTTTAATGTGCTTCCTATATTAAAAAAAGAAAAAGAACTAAGGAATGGAGACTATCCCTACTAGTCCTGTAGTGGCCAAATACAACATATCCTGCGAAGAAAGCAAGATGGCGAATGAGGGAGATGCTTCACCTTCCCTGATCAGTGTTTGGAGTGATGTTTAACTAATTCTGAGATGTCAGGCAAGGGAAAATTGGTGTAATTTTGGGCCCTTGTAATAAGGGCGAAGTAAAGTTGGTGGAGACTAGAAGGGAAGTGTGGCTTCACTACAGATGTCTCTCATAAGAGTGTCAGTCTCTCATCTACAGTCTAGGATTGTAGTGCGATAAACTTAGACCAATATTTGCTTATTTGAAAGTGACCAATGAATTTGGTCCATACTCCTACCTTTTTTTGCTTCTTACAAAGTGCAAAGAGAGCATGAAAAAATCTTTTTAAAGTAACATTTTTAACTTAAGATACCAGAAATGCCAATTCATATTTCTCTGCATTTGTAGGAAGACTTTATTGAATGACTCGGAGAACTGAATTTGGAGTTTTCTCAGTACTTGAAGATTCAGCACCTCTGCCATTTCAATTCATGTAAAACCTTCATCTATCTGTTAAATATTAACAAAAGCAGATATTTATATATACCTTATGAAAAACTAATCATAATTAATCTGTTTTCACTCAACCTCCTATCCTCTGTTGCTATAGGTTGTGCCAAGATTGTAGATGGAATAAGGCAGCGTTTCTGTGCATGCGATCTGGTGGCACCTTGGGAAAGAAGGATATTTAGGAGGAGTTTTAACTGGGGAAGGGTAAAGAAGGAGTTTTAACTGTGTGGAATTTTCGTGAGTGAAGTGGTTGTAAAAAGGAAATATGCAAAAGTGTTGGCATAGTGAGATCACATGGCAGGGTAAGATTTCATAGACATTAGGGCTGGAAGGGACCTCAGAAGATCATTGAGTCCAGCCCCCTGCCCCAGGGGCAGGAAGTCAGCTGGGGTCATAGGATCCCAGCAAGATAGACATCCAATTTGCTCTTGAAGGTGTTCGATGTAGGTGCTTGAACCACCTCTGATGGCAGGCTGTTCCAGACCTTGGGGGCACGGACAGTAAAGAAATTCTTCCTTATGTCCAGCCTGAAACGGTCTCGCAGTAGTTTATGACCGTTTGACCTCATCATCCCTTGGGGCGCTCTGGTGAACAAACGTTCCCCCAGATCCTGGTGGTCACCCCTGATAAACTTACAGGTGGCCATCAGATCACCCCTGAGCCTGCGCTTTTCCAGGCTAAAGAGCCCCATGGCTCTCAGCCTGTCGTCATAAGGTCTGCTTTCCTGACCTCTGATCATGCGCGTGGCTCTTCTCTGATGTGATAAAATGACCTTGGGCTTACATTGTTAATGAAATTCAGTTTGTAAAAAATTGAACATCTTGAGTTGCAGCTACTGTAATTCTATACAAAGTGGGTTATCTTGGTTCCACTTATCTGTGGAATGAAGATATTGAAAGCTACTTGTATATTATTGAATGAGAAATAATATAGAAAGCTTTTTTTCTTAAATGACCCAGTTCTTCAGCAGCGCTTTACTCATTCCTTTTTTTCCTTTTTTATTCCCCTGGCCTTGTTGTTCTTATAATAGTTTTTAAAGCTTTCTACTTTGACTCCATCAGCATAATATTTTTGTTCCTAAAGCAGTGTTTTCCTTTACTGATGGGAAATGCCACTCTTACTGACTCACATCACCCACAAGCTGTACTAAAGATCCTTTTGGCTTTCCTTACCTCTCAACTGCTTGCCAGTATCTCCTTATAATTCAAAATGAAGAGCATCCATTTTGATTGTGGATTGTTTTATAATTTAGTTAGCCCTTGGAACTAATCTGAATACATAAACAGTACATCTGTAAATGGGTATAGCAGTATAACTGTGTTGCACAAATTACAATAAACTGTGGCATATAGCTAGTTATCCATTGTCTATGTCAGTGGGTCCCAACCTGTGGTCTGCAGATCCCAGAGGATCCACGAGGCCATGGTCTACAGTCTGTGGGTTGCACAAAGACTCTGAAATCCTTTGTCTTTTTTTTTTTAAACTTGATACACAAAACATCACTTTAATGCCTGGAATAAGTATTTTACGTTGTAGTTTTGAGCAAACAAGTATACCTGTGAACTGTAACATTTTTGTATGTGTTTTGAGTTTTTGTTTGTAGCCTATAAGATCATGGAATATTTTCCCCCTTCCAAATTTCCTTATTTGTGATGCTCTCATTTTTTATTTTCTCTCACTTAGGTAAAATAGGCCCTTAAATGACTTGATAAATTTTCTTGCCTGAACAAGAGCTCTCCAATTGGTGGCCCAGAGGTTGCATGTGGCCCAGTAGCAGCTCCTGCTGCTGTGCAGAGGAGAAGAGGATGTGGGCTCTGGACTTCTCCCTCTCTCTTCCAGCTGCTGAAGTCAGGGAGGGCTCTGTGTTGCCTGTGCTATGTGCATGGCCGGGGGGAGAAGAGTCGGGCTGCCCAGGCTGGGTGTGTGGTCAGGAATAGAGCCTGACTGCATAAGCTGCCCAAGACAAAGGAGTCTAGGAGGGCTTTAATGCATATTAATGTGCATTTGCTATTCAGAAAAATAGAATAGCTCTACTTCATGCTGTTTAACATCCTCCTTAATAAACATCCACTAATAAAATGTGATCTGAGAGCAATAAGATGATTTCAGGTTGAAGTGGCAGTCTTACTTAGAAATTCCTTACAGTTATCAGTTTTATCAGAAATTATGGCCTATATTTATGGAATGGAAAGTGAGGGTATCAGCAGCTTATCTGTTACTTTTTCAAGCTGAGAAGCCAGAACCTGTGTGGCTCACTGGTTTGCCTAAGAGCAGGGAATATGCTGTGAAAAAGTATTGTACCCTTTCCTGGTGAAAAACTCCTAGGTAGAGAGACTTTACTGAGAAGAGCTAGAGTGACTGGCATTTGAGGAAGAGCTGTGAGAGTAGAAGTGGAATTGGGGATTTTTAAATTCTGTTCCTACTCTGTGGGATAAATGGACTACGGCATGTTGTAGGATTTAGCATGGTGTGAAATGACACATTTCTCTGTAAAGGCATGTTGTAGAATCCTTGAGGTTTGAGGAGAGAAAATTAAATGGCACCCCTGCGGTACTGCATTTACCATGAGTTTGTTTGCCATGCCCTTTGCCAATACCTTTTCTATTTCTTCTTTTCCCAGGTGCTGTGCTTTCTTTGGTTTGTCATGACTTTTTTCAAGCATGGTGCAAGGTCATCAATGTATCAGTGTCTCAGGCTTCTGTCTTCACCTACCCAAATAGACACTCCGATGAAACAAACCTGAGTATTTCCACATCTGCAGAGAACAAATCTAGGCTCTTTGTAGGTGTGGTTTTGGCAATAGGTTCCAGTATTTTTGTTGGTTCCAGCTTTATACTAAAAAAGAAGGCCCTTTTGCGACTGGCTGACAAAGGAATCACCAGAGCGGGTAAGAAATACTTGCTCATCTTTGATGGGAAAAACAAAAACGGTAGTGTGAGTGATGTTGTAGTCATGATGATTCAGCCTGTTGTGAGCAGCAATAATTTCTTAGGGTGATATCTTTTATTGGACCAGCTATGCAGTTTGAATAAAGTTAGACAAGCTTTCAAATTCAGGACTTTCTTCTTGCATTTGAAAGGAAGGTATCTGATTATAGTAAACTATGTATAGCAAGTTAAGCACAGTATAGAGGAGAGGCAGACTCGGGAGAAAAAAAAATCAACCTTTTTCATTACTAACAAGTCAGATCAAGCCGTTCATTATACATTTAAAAATATGCTTTACAGTGATCAGAAATGTTGTCTGGAATTATTAATGTCCTTGTTAGAAGCATAACCATTATTTTGCAGAGGCTACTAGATTTGAAAATCTCTTGGAAAGGTGGAAATGAGAATATGTGCTATGTCACAAGTATTTGTAAAATGCCTACCATGATTACATCAAATAACTTTTTATCTGGCACCAAAAGATTTTCATTATATGTCCCTTTCTGTATGAGAGGGGAAAGATTTGGAGACTGTAATAAGTTATAAAAGTAGTTTAAACGCACGCCCAGTTTTTGTAAGTGGGGGATGAGGTATGAGAAGTAACAAATAGTTTTTGTAAAATGAACTACTATCATGAAATCACTGTGAAGAGGCTTGGAGAATGAATACTGGGAAAAACCTAGCTTAAAAAAACCCAAAAAACTATGGTACAAGGAACATCACTATTATAGGGATGACATTTCTTTGAAAAGTACTCGGAGTTGTCCTAATTTGACTCCTATTGAAGTTTGGAGCACAGTTATGTCAACATGGAATACTTCTGAAAATACCGTCCTAAATTATGTAGAGTTACAGCAGCTTAAATCTTTTGTAGACTTTTGAATTTTTATGTATTATGTTCTGCGTAAAGTACTGAAATGTACTATTTTGGATGATGATAGAATTTAAAGAAAACAAGTTTTCCAGTATAATGTTGGTATTTTGCTTTTAAAAGTTTGGTTAGCTGTACTTTTTGTCTTTTAAAATATTTTACTGAGCATATTCAGGCTGCAGTTTGGTATACATATACCTGCCTCTGCATATACTTTCCTTTTTAGCAAATGGATAATCTCACTCTGGTCTTATTTGTACTTGGAACTGGTCTTCCATGTATATACTGAAAAAATCCTGTTCAAGACAGTGCCATTTCCATGAGTTAATCAAAATTTGGTGATATGCCTAACCTCCACGTGACATGAATGTTGCATATGCGTGTTTAAATTAAACGAATGCTATACAGAATTTGAAACTTCAGTTGCATCTCTTAATGTCTAAGTGTCTTTTTAGATTCCTTCAGTTCTTTTCTACTAATATTAGCCTGCTTTTTTTTCCCCCCCAGGGCAAGGTGGATATTCTTACTTGAAGGAATGGCTCTGGTGGGCAGGATTGCTTTCAAGTAAGCTTTGGACAAGGGGAAGGGGGTGAATCTGATCTCTCTTACTCAGGCTACATGTAAATAAATCAAAATGCAGTCTTTGAAAAGATTCTTTACATTTTTAATTTACATTTTCTTCAGGAGAGAAAATTAAGTAAGGATACTTCTTGGCAAAGCCTTTGTGCCAAATTTAATGCTGGTGCGTGTCAGGATTCCTAATCTATATGAAGTACTTCATTTGCTTTGCAAACGTTTCCACAGCTTTAGTAAATGAAGGGTTTTTGTTAGTAGCTCATTAAAGTTCCCTCGTTTTTAACAGCATTGGGGTAGATATCTGGGAATAAAAAGCGGTGCTTTGATGGCAAAGAAGGTATGTGTTTATCTGTTTGTTTTAGTAGTACTGTTTCAAAACTCCTTAATACTGCTTCTGTTTAATTGTTTGTTTACAAAAATGATGGATATACCATGAATGGTTTCTCTCCACTGCTACCATTACTGTTGCATCTTAATATACTGATGCAATACTTTGAAAATGGCCTTTTCCTGTATGTTTAACTTTTTATACTGTCTTTATTTTGGTTATCTAGA